CATGCGAATTCACTTCTTTGGTTGGACCCAACAATGCGAAGTCGTCTATGACGCATTACTTACTTTGGCCTTATTGCCGGCCTAAAACCTTAACCTTATTACTAATTAATTTATTTACTAAATTAGCTGAGTTGGGCCAACCTATAACTAACCTTTGCACATTTTATCTAAGTCAAACCTCTGAATGGCATCTAATGCCACTTCTAAATGAAGCCATCGGCAATAATTTAGGTTGGTTAAATCAATATTTGATCGCACTTAACTAAAAGACTGTATATGACATCATATATTGTTCAAATTAACAGCCCTTCATATTTTACTCTAATTCAATTAGTTTCTCGTTACGTTACAGTATAATGACGCACGTCACCCGTCACCAATTCTGCGTGATCGAGCTATGTCTTAAGGAACGCCTCGTCTATTTGCTGCTGCCGTATTTAGTGTCGCAAAGGGTAATACTGGGAATCAAGTTCACTGTCTAATCATATGCCGATAAATTGGAATACAGAATATGATCATATAAAGCATACTTGAACAACGTTTGTCAGTTAAACAGACTGTTTTTTTCTCTGGTTGCAGTTGCTTCACTGCTTCTTCACTTCTTATTCTCTTGCCTTCGAAAACCTTCGAAGATTTATCCTGTGGATTCTCAAATAAAGTTTATCAGCGATTATATTCGTGTAAATTCCTTACAGACTCGCTCATTTCTAAGGGAGCAGCTCCTTAATTCAGTTATTGTATTGACGAAGTTTAATGTTGCTAGAGTTAATAAGCTGAAAGCGTCGTACCGACAAGCTTTGGTACCGGCAAATTCTACTCATGGTAAAAAGCTGTGTCCTCAAACTTGCATACAAGTTTTCAATCCCGTGAGTGCTATGAATTATTTTCGTTTAACACGACGCATTTGTGTTGCTTAGGTGTCTAAGGAAAAATTTTTATAAGATCAATATTTTACTTACGAGCAAATAAACGGAAAAATCTTCCAATTGATTCTTTTTATGCATAAAATTATTATAAAAATCGACTGAACTCAATCGACTCACCTGCTCCAAGAATGCCTGCGGCAGTCGATCTAGTGCCAGTCACTGAGCAAACTCGCATGTCACGTAGCCTACCTAACTTTTAATATTTGGTGTGTTCGTTTTGTCGTGCAAAAAGCTTTTTAGCGCATTTTCTCATTTATGGAAAAAATGCACTATTGTGCTCGCCATGTCCGTCTGTCCGTCTGTCCGTCCGTCTGTCCGTCCGTCCGTGACCTCAAGTTTTCGTCGACGAGAAAATGCGCTCTCTGTCACTCACTGCAGTGAGTACTGAGTTATATTTTTTGTTAATTTACACCCAGCAGGCATCTGACGTTGAAACAACGTTGATTATTGGTTGATTTCGGGTTAAAATGTTGAACAACCAAAATTAAACGTCATATTCACGTCCAAATCTGACCATTTAGTGACCAACACTAGAAGGGTCGTAAAACAACCTTATTTCAACGTTGAAACAACATCGATATTGGTACGTTGAATGTTTATTTATTTTTAATCGTCCGATCAACGTCGAAATCTGATCAAAAATAGAACAGACGTAAAACCACCTTATTTCAACGTTGAAACAACGTTGATATTGGTACGTTGAAAGTTTATTTAATTTTAAACGTCCGATCAACGTCGAAATCTGACTAAAACTAGAACGGACGTAAAACAATCTTATTTCAACGTTGAAACAACGTCGATATTGGTACGTTGAATGTTTAGCAATTTACCAGCATGGCAGTAATGTTATCACACCAACATTGAAGGAAATACATATATATAAGTGAACGATTAATGACCAGAGAATGCATTTCAATTTTCAAGGAGTCGAATAATTCTTTAGCTTATTTTATTGCTCAAGCACGGTAGCTGCCGTGGTCAAGGTTGCTAAGGCGTCGCGCGGTCGCCAGCAATCCCGGGTTCGAATCCTGCCACGGACGAAAAACAGGTTGGTTCTTCAACGTTGATTCAACTAGAGAATTTGACGTTGCGGCAATGTCGTAGTAGTAACATTGATTCAACGTTGCATTGTAACGTCAGTACGACGTTTCATGAGAGACGTTGCTTCAATTTTCATTCTAAACCTATTTTCACCGCGATCTCAACGTCGTAATAGGTAGTTGTTTCAACGTCGATTCAACCATAGAATTTAACATTGCAGCAACGTCGTAGAGCAACATCGATTCAACGTTGCATTGTAACGTCAGTACGACGTTTCATGAAAGATGTTGCTTCAATTTCATTCTAAACCTCCATTCACCCGGATCTCAACGTCGTAATAGGAAGTTGATTCAACCGTTGAATGCCTGCTGGGCAGCTACAATAGTTAAGATGTTCCAATGTTCCAATTTTTCAATTTTCGGCTTCAAAATTTTTGTTTTTCATTCGCAATGTAATGTTTCTTCCTCAACTCCTAATGAAGGTGGATTCTTTCTATCAGGAGATAGATTCGTGGCATTATTTTTTAACATTTTCTTTCAAGTTCTCGCCCACTTCGTTGTGGGCGAGATCTTAGGTTCTAACTCTTCCACCTTGAAGTATTAGTTTTTTATAGACACTTCTCTTCTTCTTAACTCTTTAATAAAAATATGCCAGGAAATTAGACAGATTGAAATATTCCTTGAGAAATGGAGGGTTTTCGACGGTGTGCCGTCATCCAAGATCTCAAGCTCTCTTAGCCAATGAGAGTCGAGATTTTGGCGTGTGTGGGAATGTAGGTAGAAATAATAACCACCAGATTGAGTGATCATATTTATGAGATTCGGTGAAGGATGCTTTCATAAGGTAGGATGTCCACAAGATGTCCAATCTCGATGATTGGCCATTTTGTTTTGAAAATATGAACATTTTTCAAAGTATTTAAATGATTCAAATGGGCCAGCGCCATTTGAATCATTAGGATAAGGATGGACGCGCAGTAGTTTATTTATTTGTAGAATTTCTGTTAAAATGTATATAAATTAATAACAACAATGCATCAAAATTGAATACAAATGATATCCGGCTACATGTGTACTGGACGAGACAGCTTCGAAAGTTGAACAAAAGTTGACTGTTCTATCCGACAACAAGTGCTGACCAAAAGGGCCCCCATACACTTGCGACTCTGGCTACAGAGTCCGGGTAGCAGATTCTGATTCCCGAACCAGACTCGGTTATATTTTACCAAGCACCTTACGTATTTTATTTTTGTTTTACCTTGACCAGTTGTAAAAGCGAGTGCCAATTAAGGCAAGTTCCAAGTTTTGTAGTTTTATCATTATTCAGCACTTAGCCGAGCAAACGAACTGCCCAATATTTGGGCTTAGCCAAATAAATATTATACCAAAACTGTAAATCATTCGGCGTCTATAGGGCAACATTGCGCAACATTCTGTCAGTTGGTCCCCAGCGAAAGTTCGTCTCAACAACGCTTACCATAAGGGACAAGAATTTCAAGAATTTCCTATGAAAGACAAATAATTTAATGTTGAATTTTTTGAAGGCTTCCGTGGTGAAGGCTGTGTGGGATGAGACGTGAAAATATTTCCATCATCTTGCAAATATTGGGCTGCATTTATTAAATAGTATTGCGAGAAATATCAGCATGCGAATAAATAAGTTAAATTAAAGACGGATATACATATATTCGGGATATAAAATGTGGCCACAACAATTATCATGCAACACAATTCTCTTCCTTTTAATATTATCGATGTGTTGGATGCTAAAATGAAACAAAGAAACTGGAAATTCGATCGATTAATTTGATGACGAATAGACTTAGATATCATCTTGGGAATTTCTTAAGAAATTACTGTCTGAGGAATAAAAGATTTCCTGTGGCGAGCCCTAGTATGTTACAGTACAGGGTTAGACATTTTATAACGGAAATTTATGGGATTACTGTTAGAGGCCATTATTGCTCAATACCAGCACCACTTTCACATTCCTTCCCGCGCACGAGCATGCTACTAGGTAAAAGAGCCTATGAGGTTAGGTTTGAAAGCCAAGCCGCCGTAAGCCCGAAGCCACGGCTCCATGCAGTACAGTCTTCATGGAGGCTACACCCCAGCTTGCGTACTGAGCTTTGGCTCCAAAGCTTGTTCAAGAGTTGAATTTGTGGCCGACGGCTGCGCACCCCTCACGGCAATGCGTGCTGACCAAACATCGAGTGGACGCACTCGAAATAAACAAACTATGGGAGAATTACCGCTGTAAACACTACGCATCTCTTGACCTATTATGTCATCTAATACAGCAATATAGGCGTGATACAATAAACTTAATATTATTGGTGAGATATAGCACACTTAAAATAATATAGATGTGATACAGCACACTTAAAATAATATAGGTGTGATGCAGCACACTTAATAATATAGGTGTGATACAGCCACTTAAAATAATATAGATGTGATACAGCACACTTAAAATAATATAGGTGTGATGCAGCACACTTAATAATATAGGTGTGATACAGCACACTTAATAATATAGGTGTGATACAGCCAGAGCTGGGCAGCGCTACTTGGAAATGTAGCGGCGCTACCGCTACCGCTACATGCTCTAAATGNGATACAGCACACTTAATAATATAGGTGTGATACAGCACACTTAATAATATAGGTGGGATACGAGCGTCATATAGGCAACAGGTGAGGATCGTGTGAACATAACAAATTTTCTAATATCTTCACACTCTGAGTTTTATTTACGAAACTAGGAATGAGAATGACGACAAATCCCGAAGAACGACCAATGACATTTTGTTCTCTGAAATTAGTTGTAAATTTAAATGGATATCCTCCTGTTACCTCTACACAAACATTTTGACAAGAACGTTGCATTGTTTATAAATTTCTTCTCAGCTTTGACGAACGCTCAAAAATATTCAGAAAAATATTCAGAAAATATTAAAAAAATGAAAACGCTCAAAAATATTCATAAACAGATGAGAGATCTCTGAAAATGTTACATTTAATCCTGCTTTATTACACATGTATAAACAGGCTCATTACAAAACTTGATGAATTATCTAATTGAAATTTACTGTAGTTTGTATGCCGATGGTTACAAACGTAGGAATATTCAAGGCATGAAAGTTCGGATTCGTTTACAGCTTCCGAAATATTAATGAAAATGACGGAAGAATTGCCGGAAGGTCTGCTCTCAGTTTTTACGTACGAGAAACTATACGTGAAAGTGAAACTGTCAAATTTGACGAAATTTACATAAGGTAGATTGAAAATTGGTAAATGGAACAATTTTGAAAAATAGGGCAATGGAGTCCGACTAATTCAATGGTGACCAGTTCAACTCGAGCACGTTGTCTAGTTGACAACGCGGACGTCATCAGTGTGCTTACACTACATATATTTCAAGGTGACAGATGATGAGCTTGATATAGGTTGCGTATGCCTGGATCGATAAGAAGTTACCAATTATGGGCTTTGTGGCGTTGGATGTGTACTCGTAAGAAGGATGTGGTGCCATGCCATCCATGTAGGCCAACTGTTCGTAGCTGGAGAAGTTGCCTGTCTTCGGGGCGGTTCCAACACGAATGTCCATATTTTGAAACGAGTCTTCTTTGCCTGAGTCGGAGATAGAGACCATCACTACGTTTCTCACTGCTGCAGTTCGAGTCAAATTGAAGACGATATAAGGGTTATTCGCAGGTTTAGACATGAAACATTCTTCTGGATCTCCAGTGTAAACTCCGTCGAGCAAGTTAGATGGTTTGCGGAGAGGGTTCCCCCCCGACTGAGGAGTATTGGCGTAAACGGAGATTCCAGATTGAGCTGTTAAAATATTCGCTGGATTTCGGTTGGTTTGACAGTTATACTTAGGGCCTGGAACAAGTTCTTCATTGAACGGCACGGCGAAAATGTTCAGTAACCAACTTTCATCTTGCGATATCTCACACACGAGGCGATATGTCCCTAGTCTCGATGCATACGCGGTTGCCGAGATCCACGGCAAGGGCAGGGATAACTGCATGCTGTTATTGACTAATGCTTCTCTCACTCTTGTGAACTTCCAAGTCTTCTCGTAACCGTACACAATCGAGGCAATGACCAGCAGGAGAGGGGCAACCGTGAGCATCATTTCTGTTGGGAAAATCGAAAGTTTTAACTGGCAGTTTTTTCGACAGTTGTAAGTTGCAGGAGATGACGGCTGACGTTTCTGCCTGATCCTTACTTGCATGGGACGATCAAAATCAAAGGCGAATTATGAAAGATAACGACTTTAAGTAATACGAATCACCAAAAATAAATTATTGCTTATGAGGAGCTTATACATATCATCATTAAAATGCGCCAAAATGATCATCCTACCAAAACCAAACACTTTCCCGCACGAAGTCCGGAACTATAGAAATGTTTCATTACCTGGCTTCAACGGGAACCTTTTAGAAAACTACTCAGCAGCAGACTCTGGGAATATCTCGCTATTCATGTCGCACGCTACACAAGACAACACAGTTTCAGGTTACACGGACGTACACAGTGCATTGGGCACATTACACGAAATATTAGCTAAAACAAAAACACTTCCCAACACCGAGTCCGGACCTATAGACATGTTTCATTACCTGACTCAACGGGAAGATTTTAGACAACTACTCAGCAACAGACTGTGCGAATACCCCACTATTCATGACACAGCAACACAGTTTTACGCAAGCAACACAGTTTTACGCAAGCAACACAGTTTAAGGATACACTGAGGTATGCACACCATTGTCCGCATTACACGAAATATTAGCTATACGCCTAGTCTCAAGTTACTAATCTTTCACAATATCTGGCACACCTAACTTCCATCTCACTCCCTTGGTTCCTACAGAAACAGTAAAAGACTATATACCTCACAAACATTACAGTGTCCACCAGATTAAGCATCCCTCATTTACCCCCAATACACTGGCACACTCTATCCGTAACTAGCTCATAAAAATAGCAATAAATCCAGACAAAGTAATTCGGATGATTAAAAATGTGCGCATCTAATTATGTGCATATACATGTAGCGCCTTCCTCGTCATTACATGGGCCTATTTCTCCAATGCCGACACTTCCATTTTATTCTATTACCTTATCTTCTGATCCGTTCTGACGACCTCTTGCTTCTTCTTTACTTTATGGCACCAGACTCTCAAGCAAGCCTCGAGCAGCGCGACTCAAGCGTAGCCTCTATTCCACGGCCTGCAGAAGTTATCTGAGCTAGTGTTCGGCCAGACCACGAATGCCAATATTATTTTTTATTACTCACGAATACGTAGTTTGAAAGAATTTTCTCTGTGCCGGCATCACTTTGAGCCCAACTTGCTCGAGATCACCTATAATTTGCCTGAACACTTACTGTGATTCAGGAACTTTAGTTTGTGAGCCTGCGTTCAAGAATGACGATTACAGATGACTAATGGCAGACGTGTGGCTACTCTGGGGAATTTGGCGAATTTTTTCAAACCTTAATGCTTTAAAACCAAAAATATTTTACCCATGACACGTTACTAATATTTAATAATTAATTAAATATTTCACCCGCTGATGACCATCAGTCAACACCTAAAAAACAGTCAGAAACATATGTCGGTCCAACGTATCAAACAATACTTGTGTGTGCTGCTTTCGCATTGTGAATTGAGAAGCAAACATTGCATTTCTACTTCAAAATCCTACTACCATCAATATTAAATTTCCATAATTGTTTATTTTCCTCCTGTATTATCTTCTAATTGTTCTTCTCAATGAACAACGCAATTGTTTATCAAAAATGTGAAGCAATTAACCTTCATGCATAGCAGCGCTAAATTGAATTTCCCACTTCGCATCTAACGTTGATTCAGAGTTGATTTAATGACATAAGAAAAACGTTAATTAAATGTTGTTTCGAAGTGTCTTGCGTGGTGGGTTGCGTGCGAGTGTCGCAGATTTAAGTAGTCCTCTTGCAAAGAACAATCAATGGTGAGCGATGGCGGGAAATTTGCAATAAATATAGCTTCACTGACGTAACTTCTGATGCAATAGATGTGGGCAAAACTCGCGGTGTTAGCATAGCATATAGCATAGTGATGTCGGCGCTAAAGAGTAGGCCTGGTGTGGCCTGTCGCCGATTCTTGAACTTTTCGTGACTTGTTCACAGAAGATCTAAAATCGTGTCATTTTTAAGGATTTTTCATGTTATTTTAGATGATTTTTGTTAAGAGATTCTTCACTTTTGCCAGAAAGTTGACCATAACTGTTCAGGAGCCGTATTATTAAAACTTGTTTGAACATACAGTTTGTAGCCGCCAATTTCACGAATGTTTGGCAGGTTTAGCTTGAGAAGTGATTGGCTGACGGAGCTGCGAAGTCGTAACTATTTTTGATGGCGTGGCCCGCAGAACTTCAAGCGTCGAGCAAGGCCTCGGCCCCACTGTGGCCCCCCACCATACACTCAGAGAAATATAAGGGTCTTATTGTCCTAATTTTGACACTCTTACACGCATCACGAACAGAGAGCGGATGTAACACTGATACGCCTTTTTGTCGTACCAATCTGGGTCAGTATGACCCACACAAATCAATATGCATGGCTATTTAGACAAGCACTTGATCATTTCCATGAGAGTAGCTCCTTAAAAATTGTTCTTCTCAATGAACAACGCGTTTGTTTATCAAAAATGTGAAGCAATGAACCTTCATGCATAGCAGCGCTAAATTGAATTTCCGATTTCGTATCTAACGTTGATTCTTTGTTGATTTAATGACATAGAAATAACGTTGACTAAATGTTGTTGCGAAGCGTCCTGCGTGGTACGTTGCGTGCGAGTGTCGCAGATGTGGTCCTCTTGCAAGGTGCAATTAATGGTAAATATAGAGAAATATATGGGTCTCATTGTCCAAATTTTGACACTCTTACACACGTTACGAACAGAGAGCGGATGTAGCACTGATACGCCCATTTACCGTACCAAACTGGGTCAGGATGACCCACACAAGATAAATATGTACGGCTATTTAGACAATCACCCGCTCACTTCTAAGGGAGTAACTCCTTAAATCAGTTATTGTAATGACGAAGTTCAATGTTGCCAGAGTTAATAATAAGCTAAAAGCATCGCAACGCTTACCTCTAATAGGTAACTTTTAGCAAGATTTGGTGCCGACAAATTCTATCTTGGCAAAAGCCTGTACCTTCAAATTTGCGCACAAGTTTTCAATCCCGCGAGTGCAAAGAATTATTTTCGCATTACGCGGCGTTTTTCTGTTGCTCAGGTGTGCGAGGAGATATTTTAATAAGTTTCATATTTTACTTACCGGTAAATAAATAATAAATAAATAGAAATTTATTTCAATTATGCATTATAAAGTGTCATAAAAATCAGTTGAACTCGACTCAATTGAACTCTCGACTCAATCAACTCACTTGCTCGAAGAATGCCTGCGTCAGTCGATTTAGTGCGTCACTGAGCAAACTCGCTGTCACTTACCAAACTTTTGATATTTGTTCCATCCATTTTGTCATGCAGAAAACTTTTTGTTAATTTACAGCTACAATAGTTATGATGTTGGTTCAAATTTTCCAATTTTCGGCTACAAGAGATGAATTTTCATTCGCATTGTATTGCTTCGTTCCTAAGAAACAACACCAAACATTTCTTACTTAAGAAATAAAAATTTCATTTTGTTTTTTTCATTTTTTAAGTATTCTAATTTTTTTTTCATTAGTTTCATTTTTTAAGTATTCTAATTCTAAGATAGTCCACATAATGACTGCTGTAAATTGCACCTGCATCTTGTAGGTTTGGGTGGCTGGAATCTACATACGCCCAAAAGGCGTATGTAGATCAGACCTCCGCCATATGCTATGGGTAAAAAAGAGTGTCATCATGTGGACATTATGACCAACTAATTTTTCCGGAGTGTTCCATTTATATTGCACACTGAGTTATTCCATTTACTGGAACATGTTGTTTAAATAACATGTGATTAGTACGAAGACACAATCTAGGTCCTGCAGAAGGTGCCGGCCTGGTTATAGTATAAGAAATGCCTATTGTGGGCCAGCGCCTTAAGAATTATTAGGGTAAGTATGGACGCTCATTCTCTATTCATTTATATAATTTCTGTTAACATGCACATAAAATAATTACAACTAAGCTTTAAAATTGAACATAAATGAAATTCGGTGACAAGTGTACAGGACGAGACATCATCGGAATTTGAACAAAAGTTGACTGTAATGAAAATTTCTAACCGACAACAACTGCTGATCAAAAAGGCCCACCCATGTATACACTAGCGACTCTGGCTACCGAGTCCGGCAGAAGTTGTCTTCAGTGATAATCAAAAAATTCAGTGTGAAGCTAAGTAGTTTCTAATCAGGGTGTCAGAAAAGAAAGCTTTTGATTAATTTGTGGTCAAAAATGACATTTAATGTAGGATGTGAAGAAATTTGAAATTATTTTCTTTTTTTGCTCCAATCTACCCCGAAATTACTACGAGTCTGCCTAGCTTTGAAGACATCGACATTAAATTTCCTAAGATTCACGATTCTGATTCATGAACTAGACTCGGCGATATTTTACCAAACACCTTGCGTATTTTTGTTTTACCTTGACCCTGCTCGACGCTTGAAGTTCTGCGGGCCATCAAAAATTGTTACGAATTCGCAGCTCCATCAGCCAATCACTTCTCAAGCTAAACCTGCCAAACAGACGTGAAATTGGCAGCTACGTACTGTATGTTCAAACAAGTTTTAATGATACGGCTCCTGAACAGTTATGGTCAACTTTCTGGCAAAATTGAAGAATCTCTTAACAAAAATCATCAAAAATAACATTAAAAATCCTTAAAGAGGACACGATTTTAGATCTTCAGTGAACAAGTCACGAAAAGTTCAAGAATCGGCGACAGGCCACATTAGGGCTACTCTTTAGCGCCGATATCACTATGCTATGCTATGCAAACACATAGAGTTTTGCCCACACCTATTGAATCAAAAGTTTTGTCCGTGAAGCTCTATTTAGCGCAACTTTCCCGCCATCGCTTACCATTGATTGCACCTGGCAAGAGGACCACGTAAATCTGCGACATTCGCACGCAACCCTCCACGCAAGACGCGTAAAACAACATTTAGTTAACGTTGTTTCTAGGTCATTAAATCAATCATTTCTATGTAATTAAATCAAATATGAATCAACGTTAGATGCATAATGGGAAACTCAATTTAGCGCTGCTATATGCATGAAGGTTCACTTGATCCGTTCATAGAACATACGCTCAGTTTTACCCATGTTTTTTTTCCAATTCGCTGCGAACAAATGCGTTTTGCTCTAGACCTCATCAGATAGTGCAGAATCTATAGTATGAATAACTAAAGCCTGGGAATGTTTCCAACCTAATCTCTAAAACTCATTTGGAATAAATATTTCGTAAAGAGGCCTATAGACAAATGATTATAATTAATACATTCACTAAACAACCCGCCTATCACTGGACCTACGAACCGCCCAATATTCTATTTCATCATAGGCACTATAACAATTGCAGCTTAGCCGAGTGGGGAAAGTTAAGAGGTATAAAACTGCGCATCGAGTTGTGAATTTCATCACTGCAAGCTGAATTTTAAATTTAGGATACGATTCATACAAAAGATAAAAAATGCAAAATGTATGTGATGTTTAGAATCGACGGTAGACAAGATTTGGCCTAATCAACAACGACCCCATCATTAATTTGAAACAAACAAACAAAAAAAGAGTTCCTAATAATTTAGTAATTCAAACGGAGAAATCTTTATTGGAAATATTATATAAATGTTTTATGGCAAGGCAATGAGAACTGAATAACTATTGAACGGCGACCCAAGGACGGGCTGCCATGACAACCGTCCTTGTCGCATGGCTACGAAAACGAGCGTAAACATTTATAAAATACAAACGGGTATAGGTACTCATTGAGAGGAAAAATTAGAGGACATTACAGAAAAAGGTACAAAAATATGTAACTATTAATAATGAATATCGGATTTAGAAGTTAACGAGTACAGTTTACTTCTCGAACAGAATGCGACAGCATCTCGGTTACTGATAGATACGTGGGACCTAAATGTATTTCTGACTCAATAAATAAATATGTATAAATATATCAATATTATTTTTGTAAGGCTATTCAAGGCAAATATCTTCGCGGTATGAGTGAGTCTGCTATAAAAATGGGCCATAA